CATAATGTTTTTTTCTATTCAAATGTTGTTATGAGGTGTATTTTTGTAATATTTAATAATACATTTTGCTTTAGAGATATTATTTATATTATTAAGAAAGTAAGTATTACACTTATTAATCAAATTTATTGAGCAACTATTGCAAATAACAATATAAAAACTAAGCTCCTATAATTATATTATTGTGGAAAGGAACTACAACTTTAGTCTATTTAGTGACTTGTTATGTTGCTACCAAACTGTAAGATTTATCCTTATAGTGTAAAGAAAGTACAATTAGGCTGATAAGATCAATCTTCAATTTTTTAAAAAAATGTTCAGCAAAAATAAAAACCAAAAGCATATCAATCAATAGAATAGAATATTTTGTATATTTACAAGGATTATAGTGATGATATTAGATTTTAACATTTTTTAAACAAATTAGACTACTAATAAACTATATTAAGCACCTTGTAGATAGTCAACTAGGTAGAAAATATGCCCTCTATAATTGTTAATATGACCACCTTTTATAATTGCTTGAACTTTTAAAAAAAAATAAACAATGTATCAAAATGTAATTTTTCTTAAATAATGTAGTTTCAATTAATATATAGAGTTGAAAAGAAGTAATTAGTTAAATTTTTTATTTTTACCATATTGATTTAAAAATTACTAAGTTTTAGAATAATGAATGATTTTAGTATATTTCAATAAAATAATATCAATGTTAAATAATTCAATATCAAAAAAAATATCATAAATAAAAATAAATAAAATTAAGATTACTAATTGTGATAAATGATTAGAATTTTTATTGCACTTTTTTGATAAAACTTAAATTATAAAAATATATATTTTTCAAAAAGGATCTATTGTGTCATACAGCTTTCTTATTTTAATTTGTTAACCACACAATTTAATGCAATATGGTAAAAATAATTTTTTTTATATATTAATAGATAATAAAAAATAAAATAATAATAAAAAGTACATCTAAGCCATCATGCTTCTAAATATTGTGGTTCTTTTCTACAATATTCAGTTGTCAACTAATAAATAAAAGAAAATAATTATATCTATTATCATATTTTTAGTTGAATACATAAATAATCACAAGTTAAAGTATGGATATTAATATAAGAGACTTGATCATATTTTGGTAAAATTTTTAAAAAAAATTAAATAATTGATTAATTCTTAAGAAAATTAAAGGCCATACCATAGTTATTTTTCAATAGTAGGCTATTATTAATATCAAAATTTAAAAATATAATTATTTAAGCTAATATTGAATAATATTATTCAATATTATTCAATATGTAAAAACATTTACTATACTTAGATAACTACAGTCAATATTTGAAATTTTTTTTATTAAATTAACTTTATCAAGAATTGTTGCGATTTCAATCTTAGAAATAAATTTTATTTATTTATTTTCTATGGGAGACAAAAAATCAAGTTTTGGCTTTATTTATATATAAAAAAAATCCCAAATAATTTATAATTAGTAAAATATTATATGAAATATTCAAAAATAAAAATTTATTGCTAAGTATTTAGAACATATTTAAGAATATTTTTATGAATCTTACTATATAGTTTTAAAATATGGTTTTTATTATATATTATAATGTCCTTGAAATTTTATAGGCTCTATATGATATATCTATGCAAATAATAATATTATAATAAATAATAAAGGTTTTTAACTGAAAATATGAATAATACATTTAAACTCGATTATAACCAAAAAAAACCATCTTCGTAAGAAAATCATTCATATCATGCTATTGAATCTAAAATAGAATTAATAAAGGATAACATAAAGTAATTGTCATAAAACTACTTTATTTAATATCTTGATATCAACTTATATGCAAAATCTATTATTTTCTTTTAAACAACTACCATTGATAAGATCTAATTTTTGTAAAAGATTGGATAAATAAAACATGATTTTAGTAATTTATTAGTTTTAATTTTAACTAATAAGAAATAATAGTAATTGAACATATATTATTGTTAGCTCTCTAGTCAAATATCTTCATATTATTGTTAGCTCTCTAGTCAAGGATTAAGAAATAGCACCCTTGCAAGGATAATCAAGGACAAAGTCCATTAAAAGATTTTTTTTGTGATACCAAGCGGTGACTTGACATAGTTTGAAGCCTCAATATCTTCATATATAAGCCATCCTCCTATCCATAATTAGTTGAGTGACCATCTTGAAGTTCAACATTTACTTGTCTTCCTATTTTGTATAGTTATTCTTTGTCTTTATGACTTGTGATTTGATCATGTAAAATGGCCAAGCAATTGTTCCTTATTGTTGTTCTTGTAATATCTGCACTTATGGCAATTGAGGCTTACATATCACATGCCTAAATGAAGGCTCTTCTGTTGAGTTTGATTTGTGCAATTACTTGTGCCCCCTTCATGAAGAAGGTTTTTGCCTTCTTATTAAAGTGTGTCATTCATAATGTAGCAACAAAAGATGTAGCCATGAGGTTGATTGTTTGAAGCAGTTTTTTTTTTTTTTTTTTTTTTTTTTGAAACTGTTCCCTCTTTACTTTGATTGTTGACCGATGAACAAGACCATTGCAAGAAAGGCTACTGCTCTTTCTAATTCTTTGACATGGATATATATTTATATATATATATATATATATATATATATATATATATTTACTTAGATTAAAGAAATTTGGTAGAAGATAAATTTACATAGATTTAATAATATCTTATAGAGAAGCTTCTTAGAACCTTAATAGACACAAGTTTGACTTAACATGTATTTGTAGGTATTTGGTAGATTTAAAACTTGGCCAAGAAGTTGGCCATATGTTGCACATGTTGGTGACTTATGGTATAAGTTGGCCATTTGGCACTCATATAAAAAGCTTGTCTTAAAAGTTAGATACATATCAAGCAATGTGGACATGTGTTGAAGATCCTATAGAATGTCACCATGTTACTCCTAGTAAGATAATATATATAGAAATAAGAATAAAGCCTTCTTCACTCTTGTCAATGCTTTTCTTGTTCGTAGTCTTATTTCAAGAGTCTCTGGTTTTCTTGCCTTTAGCAATAGCCATTCTAGTTTAATATTACACCATCTTTGAGTGCTTATATATTTCTAGTGATATAATAGTGTATTGATTCTTTGATTCTTTGTAAGTCATATCCTTGATACCCTCCTTCTTTCATAGTCATTGTATGTATTAATTAAGATGTAGCAAAATCAATTAAGAATGTAGCATTAAGTTTTTATTTTTTATTTTTTTATTTTTTTTTATATATCTTGAAATGTAGTTTAAATATCAATATAATGTGAAAGAGGATTAAAAAAGATCTAGTAGTTTGATTATTCTCAGCAACCAACTAGTAGGTTGATACAAAGTTGCTCAAGGAAATTAAATAGTCTTGATGAAGAAAAAAAAGCAACTTGACTACATAGACTCTACAACTTAATAGCTTGATACAAACTTGCTAAAGAGAGTTGATTAATGTAGACCTTTCTCCAAAATAGAAAGCAATAAGACAAATGGTTTTGAATACAATTGGACAAAAAAATAGTTTATTAACATAAGTGTTCTTCTTCATTATAAATTTTTCCTTGTAATGTCATCTTTGCATGTCCAAAGATATTTTGTTAATATTTTCTTTTTATTGAAATTAATTTCATGCATAAATTATTACATTAAAATCTTTGCTTCGTTTAGTCTATTCAACTTAATAAAATTTTCAAACAAAAAGCATGGATCAATGAGAGAACTTATTTCTTTTTAAGAGATTTAATCATGTAATGACTTATATAATAGATAGACATAATATCTTGAATTTTTAAAAATTAGAAAAAAATAAGAAAATTGAATTAAATTGATATTTAAACTAATCAAATTATCTTAAATTCTTAATTAATAATAAATAGATATGTGTAACAACAATATGTATATATGTATGTACCTTCACATACATACATGTTGTAACAATTTTATACATCATCAAGTTTGTAATAATAATAAAAACATATCAGATGAAAAATCATCTGCACTAAGTGATCTCTTCAGCTGAACAATTTTAACTTTCAATTCAATTACTTAAAAACCTTCAAAAACATGATGGCAATAATGGCAACTACATAACTATTTCATATCAACAACCTTCTATTTCCCAGAGCATAAATTCATAACCACTTTGGTTTTTTTGTTTGTTTGTTTGTTAGTTTTGTTTTGTTTTGTTTTGTTTTGTTTTTTTTTTTTTGTAATTGCCAAAAATATCATAAGAATCTCTTAAATAACTTAATACCAATATAAACATTCAAAATTACTATTGTTGCAAAGAGTTGAGTAAAAAATTCGTATTCGAATACTTATTTTCAAGAGACGCTTCCAGTTACACATAACAATTATACATAACAATGAAACCCACCAATATATTGTTAAACATAAATATGAATATAATATTCTACAATTCATAATGTAGTTCTACAGTAAATCCAACATGCTCTCATCCTTAACCCTTGAACAACTAAATCGATAATCAATTTTTTTTCAGTTTTGATCGCTACAAATATTGAATTTCACATCTGTCAAAGAAAATCAATGTTAAACTTTCAGATACTCCCGACGCCCAACACTTGCAAGGAACGAGTTATGCAGGGAAACCCTAACAAGAGAAACAAATGTCCACCAGAATTTATATTCCCGAGGCGCTAATCACACAACAATACACACAGCCACATAGGGTTAATCTCGGCACACTCAAGACACAACGTAAGAAAATTCTCTTTCTATTGTGGCTTCCTCCTTCACGATCGTCGCTTCATATGGTTAGGCTCCTCACTCCCACGCATCACATGCAAAGCTCGCTACACCACCTGCACAGTGGCACACTTATGGCGATGCACAGCCCCGTTACCAATCACAGATCTCCCACTCTTAGAGCCCCTACCTCAACTCATCCCCCATTCCCTCCTCACCAGAATCGCATGCATGTGAAAAAGAAACCAGTCAATCAAGTGTTTCTCTCCTAGGGTACAAGAAATCCAAATTTACATTGCACTGACACCACATCTACGTTACATCACACCAAGGGACAGGCGGGTGTTCGCTCTTGGCCGCAAAGAGTGCACCGCTTCCGGGTTCTCTTTCGGTCGGCATCACTATATCCTATACAAGCAGCTGCAACACCCCCGCCCGCGACGCAATCTTGCTCTGGCGTACTTATATCCTCTGACCACAACCACATTCGTCTACGTTGCGGCATCCTCCGATGCATCGATATTCCTTTCCCCTCTCCTTGGTATCCCGCCATATCCGCCCCGCAATCCAGCGTCCCGCTGAGAATCACCCCAGCATGCCCTGTTTCTTTCTCGTTTCTCGCCAAACCAGTCCCGAGTGAGACTAACCTTGAGCAAGCCCACCGTTCCCGCGCCCATTCCAATTTCAGTCCAAAACCACGAATTCGTCGTCCTTCAAATGCACGAAGAACTTCCTGCCCTCCTCGCCCTTCGTCACCAACTGCACCTTGTAGGGGAACGTCGCCGACACGGGCTTGCCCTTGAACGTCGTCACCACCTCCTTCACCTCCCCTTCCAGCCCGTCGATGTCCAATTCCGGGTTCTTGGGCACATGGTACACCTTCAACGACCCTTTCACCTTAATCTTCGTCCCCGCCTCCACCTTCTTCTCTCCCTCGCTGGATCTCGACCCACCCAGTTCCACGGCCGTTTCGCACACCACTCCTCCCCTCCTTCTCATCCCGGCCCCAGAAAAACATCCCCATCGGGTCGTCGTAGACACGAATTGCTCCAAGCATCCGCTGGAGCTCACAATCCCACCCCGTGACGACGCGACCATTCTAAGGGATCCAGGGGAGGTGATGCCATCAGCAGCACGGTGAGAGGAGGGCAGGAGCGCGGTGGAGAGGAGCAGAGTGCAAGCGGACGCCATAGCTGCTGCTGCTGCAGAGACAATTCAGAGCCGATCAGAGCCAGAGCCAGAACCAGAGCAGGGTGGATGGATCAAGGGTATTGTATTGTAGGCCACACTCGGTGAGCGGGGGGGGGGGGGGGCATTCGGAACTCGGGATTCAAGCCTATCCTCTCACGGCCGACAAACACACAACGCATTTTGTGAGCCCCGGGCCAATGATACTCGCCATTGCCCTTTGCCCATCTGGCGCATGGATTGAGGAATGCCCCGTTTCTACAGCAGCCAGTCAGTCACTACTCTCACTCTCTCACACTAGTAAGTTTACTTGGCATTCCTGGAAGCAAATTCTCCCTGATTACAACTCGTTACTACCTTACTTTACAAGATAAAAAATAAAAAATAAAAAATTGGAATGTCCCAGGAACCGTTTCAAAGGATACAATCAATTGGGGTATAAGCAATGCCGTTATTATATGTATGTACGTATGTAGGCATGTGGGTTTGAAGGTTTTTTTTTTTTTTTTTTTTTTTTTTTTAAATTTCCAAAGGTTTGGCATAATTGGCTTTCATTTTTGGAAACTTTGAAATTTTTAAGGAATTTTTGTGAGGTGGCGGTTTTAAAATTTTTTTTTTTGGGTCCAACGGTGGGGTTTTAAAATGGTTCCCAAGGACTTATTTTTTTTTCATTTAAAAAATTGGAAATGCCCCCAAAAAATGGAGGGGAATTTTTTGTTTATGGCCCCTGGGGCCAAAGGGGGGGGTTTTTTTTTAGGGGTTTTAAAAAAAAAAACTTTCCCGCCAATTTTTTAAAAAGTTTTTTTTTTTTTTTTTTTTTTTTTTTTTTTTTCTATATTTTCTTATTTATTTTCTAAGTTGTAAAAATATTCATACATGTTAGAGGGATTTTATAGGATTTTTATAAATCATTAAGTGAATATAATAATAATAAATTTGTGTGATAAAATCTATTTTCTTTCATTATTCAATAATTTAATAAACTTTTATTTTTAATTCATTGTGAATAATCAATATTTATAATCAATTTATAATCAATATTTATAATCAATATTTTATCAATTTGAATAAATAATTTATTTTTTACAATGCTATTTCAAGTAAAAAATTATTAATATTATTTATGAATATAAATATGTTTATTCTTAAATTAATCATAATAGATTTTTTATTTTAGAAAAATAAAATTCGTTATTAAATTTTAACTATATATATGTTTTTTTTATAAATTTAAGAATACATATATTTGGTAAATAATTATCATATCAAAGACAACTATATCATTAAGGTAGAATTTTGTTGTAGAAAATATCATGTTAAAGTTATTAATATAACACAAATTTCATACAATTGCACATATTATAAATGCATTTCTAATAGTTGTTATTGATTGATTTACATTAAAATCTAATTTTGATATTTTAAAAAAAATTATATTTTAATAAATTTTTTAAATATAAAACATTATATCTAAAAGATTATTTTCATCATTTTCAACAACATAATATTATCATTGTTATATGCATGTTGTATCATACATAAAAAAAAATTAAATGTATATATATATATATATATATATATATATATATATATATATATATATATATATATATTTAGATTTTAGACTTATTTTTACTCATTACTATAATTTATGTTAATTATTTTTGCATCTATTTTAAAGATGTAGCATGCCCTTGAAATATAACTATTTTTTTTATTTTTCTTATTGTATAAAATGTAATTTGTAGTTTATAAATAATAATTAAGATTTGTAGTTGTAGCATTTAGAAAGTAAGTTCATTAATTGACTTATTTTTTTAAGATAGTGTCTATAATGCCAGAAAGGCAAGTGCAATTATTCAATAATTACTAAAGACTATAATATTTTACTTTACAAAAACATATGAAAAAGTATATTGTAAGATAGTAAGTCCAAAATGCCAAAAAAGTTAAAAATATTAGTTTAGATCAACTCAAAGATATCAAGTTATCAACTTTAAAGATACTATAATATATTTTAGGATACCAATATAAATGAAATAAAATGATACAATGAAAATAAAATGTAGCAAGTGCAACCAAATCCCACTACATTATTAAACTTAAAGATATTATTTTCTTGGAGATCTCTTGGTATTTCAATATTTTTTATAGAAATATAAACAATACTATATATATTTTTGTATTTGGAATGTATGTGTATACTGTGTATTTAAATGAAGACATACTTTTTTTGTTTATTAGTGAACAATAAAATCATACGAGAAAAAAAACTAAAAAAACTAAAAAAAAAAAACTAAAATCAAAACAAAAAATTAGAATCTTTAATATAATTCAAAATTAATTTAATTGCTAAAACATGTAAACTTTGTTTTGGTTGATACATTTAAAAAATAGATAGAAGAAAAAGAATTGGAATTTTATGTCTTAACAATTTCAAGAATTAAATCAATTATTTATCTCATTAAATTATAAAAATTAATATTAAATAATTCTCTCTAATTCTTTATTTTATTCTAAAAATTGCTCATGAAATGGATTTAGTTGAACCAAACAAAAGATGCAATTGGTTAATTAGGAGCTTTCTGTACAAACAAAAAATTTCAAGGTATAGTTGATATGAGACTTGACAAGCTAGTGGAAAAGAGGAAGATGGTCAACAAATAAGACAACTATAATTTTTGGAAATAAACAAGACAAAAATTACAAAAAAACACAATCATTATTTTTTTTATGTATAGAAGTATTTATTAAAATAAATAAAAGATAAACCTATGAAATAAGAAAAGAAGGCAAAGAATATCAACATATTAATAGTTGTAGATCAAACATTTGTTGTAAACAACATTAATAAAAGTAGAAAAGAAGAAAATTATTATTGAATAATGTGTATAAAGATGTGACTATAAAAAATTAAAAAATATATTTATAAAATAATAATTCGTAAAGATAATAAACATTATTTAAAAAAAAAGTGGAGAAAATTCAAAAAAACCGATGATAAAAAAAAAAGAAAACAAAAAAAAACAACCATAACAACAACAAAAATTATATAACTAAGAAAAGATTTTGTGAATCAAAAAAATTTACAAAAAGAGTACCAAATAAATATAAAAAATACTTGTTTTTTGGAAACCATAAAAGAATATTAGGAATTTAATGATATGAGTAATGAATAGAATACTACAAGAAAAAAAATAACAAAGCAGTTGTAAACAAAAGACAAAAAATAAAAGCTATAGTATAAGGTAGAAATAAATATAATAAGAAATAAGAAGTAAAAAACGATTCAAATTACTAGTAGAATAAAAAATAATATATAAACAAGATTGAGCAATAAGTAATGTATGGAAAAATAAAGATTTGGAGTAAGTTGAAATAAGAAAAATAAATGCATAGAAGATAAAAACTTATAAGTTAACAATCCAAATGATTACATGTATTAATAAAATAAAAATATCAAAAAATATAAAAAAATATCTATAGAAAATTATGCATCAATTATAAAAATTAAAATTAAACTTAGTTAAAGATAAAGTTAATCGTCATCAATATGTATACATTAGAAAAAAAAAGAAAAAAAGAAAAAAGAACTAAAAAATTAAAAGTACAAAAAATATTATATATGAATATTTTTGTAATAAAAAAATTAATTTAGGAAAAAAACCTGAATTGATGATGCTTACAAATTAAAGTAATCGAAATTAAGAAAATATTGTATTTATTGGTATTATGAAAGGATTTAAGCAAAAAAACATACAAAAGACGGCAATCAAAAAAATATAGAAATTAAAATAAGTAATGTAAAGAGATTTTAAAAAATTTATGACTTCATATTTTTTTGATTGATTTCTTCCTTTCTATTATTTTGCTAGAACATACGTTTACTAACAAGGGTGCTATCTCCATTGTTTTATTGTAATACAACTATTGGATGAAAGAAAGATAAAATTATTATATTATAAAAGATTTGATTCTAAAATACAGTAGCAAGGTATCTTAAAAATAATATAATAATTAAAGAGTTCATAAAAATAATAAATGCTAATGCTATCTTTTATTTACAAACAAAAAAAAAAAAAAAAAAAAAATACTCTATTTACTATGTAAGACCATAAATAAGACAAAAAATAATTTTGTGAATTATGTAGTAGATCTCTAAGTAAAAATTTATAGATTAGTAATAATAGTTGTTTTGAATGTGTACTTTAATTTTAAATTTAATCAAAGAATTAAATTAAAGATTATTAAAATTCTAGTGAATTAGGATTATAAAAATTAGATTTTGAGAGGCAACAAGGTTTTTTAAGATTAGCAATAATTTTTTAGTTAGATTGGGAAAAAATTTGAAAGCAATTGAATGTTGCAAAAAAGAGATATTAGCATTGAAATCTCAATATCAAGTTTGGAGATGGATACTAGCCAACATCCAAGCACATTCTGGATTATTTCTTTTAAACTATTACAATTTGACTAGGATTTATTAGATTTTGGTTAAGATTGGTTAGAATTTGATTAGAGTTTAATTAGAGTATTTTAAGATTTATTTAAAATTTACTTAGGATTTATTTAAGATTTATAATGATTTAAATAGAATTCAAATAAGATTTGATAAAAAATTGATTTATTTAAGATTTATTTGGAATTGATCAAAATATGATATGATATATCTAGACTTTTTTTAAGGTTAATAGAATGTATTTAGAATAATTAAAAACTTATTTAGATTATTCAATATTACCAAATATTATAGACATATATATTTATTTAAATAAGAAGTGTTAGATAGAAAATAAATGTAGGTAGATTTGATATTATTTTGTAGTAAAGCTTCCTAGAAGCTTCATGGATGCATATTTAACTTTAGAAGTAGTAGGTTAGAAAATTAGATAAAAAATTAGCTACATATCATATATATTATTAGCTTATTAAATAACCTAAATATGTAACATACATATAGAAACTTGACTTGTAAGTTAGACATATGTCTTACAAGTTAGACACACATTGAAAGATTTATATAATGTCACCATATAGTTCATAGTTAGATAGTATATATCGAGGCAAGAGTGAAGTCTTCTTCACTCTTGTTAATACCTTTTTAGTCTTTAG